CGGTCCACCCCGGCAGAGCGCGCTGGCGCATGGCGGGCAGGGACGACGAGAGTGAGGTGGACCAGGTAATTGGAGAGGGAGCCGAGCTCGAGCGCCAACGTGTCAAGATGACCAACTCGTGGTACACAGCGATCCTCGCCGTCTTGATTTGGCTTTTCATGTCAATCATGAACGTAGCTAATCTGGTATTCCTGGGCAAGTAAATGTTACGGTGCCGTAGTAGCTCGGTGAGGAGCAGCTGCGGGAGGGTCACTGACCCACGGAGAGGTATTCACATGGCAATTCCGTTATTGCTCCCAATCGAAATCAGGTTGTGCGTGTTGTAATTCAAAGGAAGATTGATTGTTCATTCATTCTTGATTTCGGTACCGGTCGGTAGAGGGCTAGGAAAGTCAGTTGCGTAGAACGGGACTTCAAATGACGCCTTCATTGTCTTGCATCGCCCGATGAGCAGCGCTCATCCACGCAGACATTATATGAGCTGAAGAACTGGTTGCCATTGGTTAGCGTATCTCTCACTCTCGCTAAGAGTAGCACTAGACCCAAATAGGCAAAACATTGTCCGTGATCCCTCTGAGATATGAGAGTGCCTCGGGAAGATCCTGGTTATGGCAGTCGTTGCGAGATAGACTGCCCTAATTTTGGAATTAAAACCGGAAATGGCCTGAGCCTTTAGAGACCTCCCCACACTATTTGGATGCAAACAAAACAAACTAGAAATTTCATGGAAAGGCAACACATGATTAGTATGGCCTCAAAAGTTATCCTTATCCTTAGACAGTCTCTATGAATAGACCTTCACTTGGTTTCTTATCCTTTTTGCGGCTGAAGCACATTAGGACTGAACATTGGCCGTTTTAACTTCTAAAGCAATTGAATGTGGCTGGCCAACATAGCATAATCCTGTGGTATAGCTGCAGCTGTGTACCTCCATGCCCTTAAATAACTTTGTCTAATCCGTGCCTCCCTGCCGATCGAGGTCGCTCCGCCAGAAAGAAAACTTGTATAGTACGAAGGCTTTGATAACCCGGGACATGAGACCTGCTTAGAAGCATCATGTCTCGTGCCGCTGAATGTCCTATAGACCCACCCTCCTACACTAGGCACGGTTCGTCGATATGTCCCAGTCAAATATTCTCATCTAAATTGTCGCTGACTGGAGAATTGCACTTGACTTTTGGTCAACTTTTGAGTCCTGGTCTATTTTAAGGAAGTTGAGGGAGGACTGGCGGTTTTCCAAAGCGGTCTCGAAGACCGCTGGCTGGAACTCAGCCAAAGGCCCAAAATGGTCAGTATCATTTAGGTGATTGATTTTATAGGCTATTTAAAGGCAATTGTGGTTGAATAAGAGGTGGTTGAAGCCTTTGAAGCCTTTGAGAGCGCGCACAGATGTATGCGGAAAAGGGTTGATTAGTAATGTCGACGCCCCCTTTGGAGCGGGCAAGGGGGGGCGGTCGATGTATCCTTAGCTGGAGTGATGTCGTTCCCGGCCCGAGTCGCTCCTCATTTGATTGGTTGCTAAAGAGTGGAAATTATGGGGCACACGCGACGTAGCCGTTTTCGAATCTTCTCGCGCAGTAGGTTACGATCATCAATATGAGCAACGCTGAAGGTGCCGTCGCTGCCCGCCGCCTAGCCAGCCCTCTTCGTTCGAACTATCAGGGGATAGTCGGTATAGATCAAGCTGCTGACAGCATCTCTCTCCCAGACAAAGTCCTTGTTTACCATTTCGAAATCAAGCTTCCAGAGCAACTTTGCCGTAATAAGACGCAAACTCTGCAGGGCTGAGTTCTTTCCAACACATGCCCTGGGTCCTATCAAGAACGGCCGATAGGCCCGGCGGTTGTCGCTTTCGAATAATGTATCCTTGCCGTGGGATACCCACCTCTCGGGCTGGAACGAATCAGGCTCCCTAAAGTACCGGGATGACCGGTGGATACTATAAATATCGGCGGATACAATCGTGCCCTTCGGAACGTAAGTTTCGGCTATGGTGCACTCCGGGGCGGTCCGCTGGGCGGTTTTGCCGTTGGCCGGGGGCAGGAGACGCAACGCCTCGCGAATGCAGCCATTGAGCAAGGGCAGCTGCAGTAGGCGTTCGTTTGAGATGTCAGACTCGTTGTGGAAACTCGCCCTGACTTCTTCACACACTTTGTCGTATATACCCGGATTGCGAAGGATGTTATAAAACAGGGCCACCACCGCAATGCTCGATGACTGGTAGCCAGTGAATCTGCCGCGCAGAACAGGCGTTAGTTATTATCTATCAATTCCGGTGCACTAGCGGGAAGAGATGAAATATGCTTACAATAGGACTATGATATTGAAAACCATAGCGTCACTATCGAGAGAGAAACCGTGTTTTTCAGTGGCCGTCATGGCCTGTATGAATGTCTTGCGCGTGTTAGCATTCTGTCGTTCTAAGCACCTGGAGAAAAGAATTAGCAAGGAACTATGTATACGGGTTATACAAAACCTCAGACGTACTCTTTGAACTTGTCAGCAGGAAGAATCTTAGAGAAGGGAGTAATCTGGTAAGGCAGAATCCAGAAGATAACGTGTAAAACCAGAGCTACTCCAGGGAAGGTGCTTGACCAAAGGAGGAATTCTACCATGGGCATAGACGCCTTTCCCACGGTCTTAAGAAATTCCCACGTCGCTGCACAGTGAATACATCAGTATATTCCATCTTGAGGTAACTAACATGATTTGCGCCATACATTTCTTCCCCATTGTCAGGGGCTCACCGAACGTCACATCTGCGAGGATTCCCCACAGTATCGTCTCCAACTGGGCTCGAAGATCGACTTCGTCTCCGTGATCTGCATGTTCTTCAAGCTGATGGATGGCTTTGTCAACGTGTGACTTCTGGATTTGTTCTTGCTCAGCGAGACTACTAGGGGTGAAGGCTTGTTCCACGGTCCGACGGAGCTTCTTATGCATATCAAGATCGGAAACTGTGAGCAGTGTGGGCGAGGGATCCGCAAACAGAAGGCCAGTGAGGAAGTCTATGAAGGTAGCTTTTTTCGAAAAGCCGCCTTCTTCCTGCTTTGAGTAGATCTCATTCTGGGCTTCGAGGGTGGAAAATGAGAGCTCATTTGGCGCTATACGCACAACCGTTCCTGAGCATCCAGTCGTCAGCCTTAACGAAACAACAGAATTAGAGTTTATTGATATCTCACCGTATCTGGCGTGTAATTTCTGTAGATCTGAGTTGTAACTTCCCCGGTAGAGAGAGCCCATTATCCATAACTTTACCAGTCAGTTGAAGTGTTTAAGGAAAAGAGAGTTGTTCAGCAGCATACGGGTGAGAACTTCGCAAGCACTGGCCCAGGAATACGGGCAAGTGGGTGAAGGAAGCAACAGTACGATATATACACAAGTGCTAGTACACTAATCTGTGAGGTATTGTTAATCAAGGGCCCAGTTCCATAATCATGGGTAGCAAGACAACTTACGACACCCGCCACGGTTGCCGGCTGTAGCCATTGAAGCAAGAAAAGGGGTTGAGTGATCATTCTAGGAAAATGTACAAGTGTTGTCCAAGTTAGTTTCGATGGTTCAGCAGAGTATGAGCCCTCTTAGCACATCTCTTGTATGGCGGACTGCGTAAAGCCTTTTGTAAAGACCAAACCACCCAGTTTATCCGGCCCCGATGCCGCCACCCTCGCTAGTGAACTTCGTGATCCATGCTCGCATGAGTTCTCAGCCGTATCTCCATTTGCCTGACAGTGGGATCGTGGATGCAGCCCGGCGTAGACACGATGCTGCCTCAATTCTGCAACAACTGGAAAGTTAGAACCCTCCAATTTGAGAAATGTCCAGCCAGTAAAGTCTCCTAGATTAAGGAGAGGAACATCGAAAGAGATCAGGCGAGTGTGCGGTATTTTCGCTATTGGCTCAAATGGCAGTGGTTGCTTTCGATATCCATGGATTGGGTGCAGAGGGGTTTTTTTGGAAAATGTTTTAACTTACTATGGTGGCTCTCATTGGTCAAACTGTGGGAGTCATGTGGTCTTCAATGGTCACTAGCCTAAAGATAAGGCATCGAATGGTACGAAGTAAGCAGGATGAACTTAAACGGCCCAAGTTCCTAAATCAGAGCTTCATTTAGTGATACGTAACAGACCTCATGGGTTCCTGGATGCTACAGTTAGGGCTGTGGCTAAACCTTGATAACAATAAACTTCAAGTTCCCCGATATTCCGCCAGGTTGGATTATCTGTGAACGCTCCACCACCGCCACCACCGCGCCACGTGGCAAACCAAATAAGAAGTGGGGATAAGGGGGCGAATCCCGAGGTTTGAATTTGTCTTTCGCTTATCGCTAGATTAAGAAGTCTTAACTAATCACAGAAGTTTGGGTGGTGGCTTGAGTCAAAACCTTATTTCTCCATCTTCCCCGCACACACGGCTCGGAAATTCGAGAACTCTAACTAGTCCACCCGGGTGGATCCCCATATACCAGTAAGTATTCACACTTTCAGGGGGCCTATCTCGCTTTCGCTTGCCTTCTTTAAATGACATATGCCGTGCTAGGATAGGATATCTTAGATTAGGCTTGTAAGCATTCCACCAATACCATAGGGTATAGGCAGACTGTAACCCCACATAAAAGAAGAATAAAAGCACCTCTTATGTCAGGGAGCTATGCTGGCTTCCAGACGTCGATTAACTGTCCTTATATGAAGATATCATCAGGATCTTGTCTGCCCCTAATTTGTAGCTCTTTGAGCTACGTCCTGTTGTTGAGCCTGCCCTACTGCTCTGTCTGTACTTAGCTTACTGTGTGTTGATCACATATTATATTACCGTCTACATACCTACCTCCCCGCCGTGACATATGGCCATAATCATCTCCAGCCTAGGCAGTGCCTTTGCGGCGTTCTTTGGCATTGTACGATATCCTCTCCATACTATGCTGACAGCCGTGATGTTTTTTTGCCTTTTGTTTTTTTTTTTTTTTTTTCGATGAGACCCCCGCTGATCAAGCAAGTTAGATGGTGCTGTTTGCGGTGACCAGAGTTGTTTACAACCTGTGCGTCCATCCGCTCCGCAACTTCCCCGGTCCGATCCATATGCGGGCCTCGGTATTCCCCTACCTGTGCAAGGAGATGGCCGGCACCCTTTCGGACGATATCCTGGACCTGCACAGGCGCTATGGCGAGGTGGTGAGGGTGGCGCCTCACGAGCTATCCTTTGCCAACGCCGCGGCCTGGGACGACATCTACAGCCAAAAGCAGAACTTGGGAAGAGATACTCGCTTTTATTCTGTCCCCGAGAAACACCTTGCCTCTGTTGACCTCCAGAAAGGCAATATCGTCCGGCGCGCGCTCCAGCCTGGTTTCAGCGAGAGGAGCCGGCGGGACCAGGAGCCCACCATTATGTCTTGTGTCGACTTGCTGGTACGGCGACTGCACGAGAGGTGCGGCGGAGGTGCGACACCCGTGGATATAGTTTCATGGTACGATTTCACTACCTTTGACATCCATAGCGACCTAGCGTTAGGTGAGGCTTTCGGCTGCCTTGAGATGTCCGACTATCATCCTTGGGTTAGGGATACCTTCCAGCTGAGCCGTGCCGGAAGGTTCCTACGGCTGCTGAACTACTTTCCTAGACTGAAAAAGCTTCTGTTCTTCTTGGTGGGGAAGTCGGCTCGGAAGCGGTCCAGGGAACACACTGAATTGCCGAGGACGAAATTGCTGAAGCTTATGGATGACAGCAAGGAGGAGCGCTCCGATCTAATCGGGAACCTAATTAAGCGAAAGGACGACTTGGTGAGTGTATCTAGATAATTATGCCGTCGTAATCAGCTAATACATTTCCTACAGGGACTATCGATGGAGGAACTCCAGGCCAACGCTATCATCCTAGTCCGTGCTGGGGCAGAGACCACGGCGACGGCGCTCTCCGGATTAACATACTACCTCTTGACGAATGCGAATGCTCTGGAAAAAGCAACCCTGGAGGTCCGATCCACTTTTAAAGACGAATGCGAAATTACCTTTTCGTCTGTTTGCCGCCTGAACTTTCTGCAGGCTTGCATGAACGAGACACTACGGCTCTACCCCCTATCTCGGTTGGAATGCCGAGGGTGACTCCACGGGAAGGAGCGCTGATTTGTGGACACTATGTGCCTGAAGATGTAATGAGAATCCGCAGTCATAGCGCAAAGCGTATTCGATGGAACTCCTTGATTGACAAATGTTCTAGACTACCGTTACTATCAACCAATGGGCGCTATACCACCAAGACAGCCTCTTTCGGGATCCGTTCAATTTCCACCCCGAGCGCTTCCTGGGCGATCCCCAGTACGCGAGCGACAATCTTCATGCCTTGCAGCCGTTCCTAGTCGGGCCCAGAGCCTGTTTCGGCAGAGCGTACGTATTAGCTTTGCCACACTGATTGAATTGTATTAGACCTTGTTCTTACTTGCTGACCCTACCCAAAGTTTGGCTACTGCAGTGATACGCACTGTATTTGCTCGACTGCTATGGAACTTTGACCTCCGAATTTCGGATGAGAGCAGAAGTTGGATTGACCAGAAAATCTTCCTCATGCGGGAGAAGGGACCGTTGAAAGTTTATTTGACTCCCCGTGGACTAGAATAAACCATGGCTCAAGAGTTGGCCATTTAGCCATGAGCAGATAAATTGTTATACTTTTTGCAGGATGTTGAAATACACCGGACAGAAACGTATAACGTATTCTGTAAGCGAGTGGTGTACCCCAAAACACCATACGAAATACGATATATTCTACACTGATATCTCAACAACCATTTTTTATTTTATTTTATTATTTGCCGTTGATAAGGCTTTTCAGCACTATATATCAATTTTGACGGAATCTAAAACCTACATTGTTACGGTATCGAAAATTACGCTACTATGAGCTAGCATCATATATATCTTATCCACTATGTTACAAACATTCTCTAAATTCCCTGAAGTGCCTAGATATCACCAAAAAGCATTGTGCTAGAAGGCAAAGTCCCTATAGACCACCATTGTTGAGATACCAGGTTGTAATTTATCCCATTTAGTACGGTGTTTTGGGGGTGAACAACTCGCTTACAGAATACCTTTAGATATAGTTATAGTTTACGCTAAGAAATCGAGCGGGGTTACAAAATCCAACTTATAGGCTCACAGCTCAAATGGCGTTTAACGTCGTAACTTAAGTTTCTGATTACACTATGCCTTTAAGAGGCATCAAGCTTTATGGTAACCATTGAACGACAAGCAAAACCTTCTGCTCAGAACGCCTGTTACTTGCTGTTAGTGTAAACCCACTTCAGTCTAGACTATTGTCTCAGGGAGATTAACCTCGGTCATAACCGTTCTTTTTACGGACAAAGAGTAACCCACTGGAATGCCGAGAGCTCGAGTTGCTGATCCAGTTTTTTGCCAGCGCTTCTGTAAACCACTTGTCGAAGGCGGCTTCTTCACGCGGTGTGAGTCTCTGAGGGCGTGTATTGAACCTAGGCTCCTCAGTTACGTCGATTCTCACAGGGCGGTCCATATCAGATGGTCAAAGATAGGGAGTGAAGTGAGTCATTGCTTGACCAAGAGGGTCTCTATCTACGGCGGGCCCGGGTCAAGCAATGATAGACTTTACCCCGCATCTTTCCTACTAAACCCATTTAGGATAAGGTTCAATGTTTCTTTTTTACTTTATTTCGATTTCTATTTTACCTCGGCATGTTATCTCGGCATGTCATCGTAGTATTTTCGATAAACTTTCGATAAAGTACCAAGTTTTATTGTTGAGAAAAGGAGAGAGGTATTGACCATATGTATATATTAATATGCCTGCCAAAATAACTGGACTGGTGGTCTATGTAACATTCCACAATTCCTATATATAGTAGGCGATAAAGGGAAAAACGCATTCTCCACCACACGTTTCTTGTTGTCGTGTATCATTGGATTTGTCTAATCCAAGGGCACTTTCAACACCTGACCTTCCCAGCCATTATGGATGAACTGACTTATTTGTCGAGGCTCATTCCAACAGAGGAGGCGCAGCGAACAGGCTGCTTCACGTCCTTACCTATCCGCATTCATCCCCGTAATGACATTGCCGACGGGGCAACTGTCAAGTTCACTGCAGACTGGGCCAAGCACGTTCGTGACGGCAGAGAGAAGAGAACCCACTTCTGCGTTTCCCCGGTGGGGAATTGGAATTCGTTCCTCTACCCTGAGGCCATCCCCGAAAGGCTTGGTACTGTTTCTTATCTACTGGACCTTGGTCTGATTCACGACGGTGAGTTCACTGAATGGGGTCATGCATATCAGCTGGTAGGCATGTGGCTGACTTGGCTGGTTGCATAGATGTGAATGAGGAGCTCAGCGTCCAAGATGCCATGACGGCGCATGAATGTCTGAGGCCTGCTTTGGACCCTCAGGACAACCGCAATTGGGACCCAGAGTCACCGCAATTGAAATTCAAGATGCTCTTATCCGAGTGTGTTCTTGAGTGTATCAAAACAGATCGCAAGCTTGGCACGGACATGCTTGATGCTTTTCGTGTTCTCTGGCTGGATATTGCCGAGAACGCCACCAGCGAAGTGCCACAGACACTGGAAGACTATTGGCGTGTACGAATGTCAAATGGCGGTATGAGGTAGGCAAACTCTGCGCCGTTCTGTTAGCATTTTGACAGTACAACTAACCCGTGTACTATGGCAGTGTTTTCTGGCCAATGGTTCTGTTCGCCACAAACCTTCACCTCTCGGAGGAACAACATGCTTTAGTACAACCCATAATTGCCGCCGCCGAGGAAGCTCTTTGTTGGGCGAATGACTCCTTCAGCTATGAACGCGAAGTCTGGGAGCTTGAGACCGGAAAGGCGAAACGCATCGTCAACCTTGTCGAGATGGTGTCCCGGACCAAGGGACTTTCGAGTACAGATGCCAAGGCAGAAGTCAAAAGGATGATCTTGGAAGCTGAGGCTAAGTATTGCCGGCTCCGCGACGATCTGCTCAGTTCACACCCAGACATGACCTTGGATTTGAAACGTTGGATCGAGTATATCGGTCTTTCGATCTCCGGTAATCACTATTGGCTCTCGGCTTGTACCAGGCAAAATGCATGGATGACCAATGGCACCCCCAATGGCACTCCCAATGGCACCAAGAGCGACGAGCCAAGTACTAATAACAACGGCACGCCATTGGAAACGCCGAAGCGTCTTACCAATGGCACGTCTAATGGCACCAAGAGCGACGAGCCGAGTACTGATAACAACGACACGATATTGAAAACTCCGAAGTGTCTTAACAACGGTGCCCCCAATGAGACGCATCCCGTCTGTCAGTATCCGAAGGAAGAACTCAACGACTTGGCCGTGGCTGCGCCTGTTACACACGTCTCTAGCATGCCCTCCAAGGGCACGAGGACCCAGCTCATCGAAGCCCTGAATGCCTGGTTAAAGGTGCCTCCGGGAGCCTTAGCACACATTATCTCGGCCATCGATATGTTGCACAACGCGTCGCTGATCCTGGACGACATCGAGGACAACTCGCCTCTGCGGCGCGGACTTCCCGCCACCCATGTCGTCTTCGGGGCGGCGCAGTCTATCAACAGCGCGACCTTCATGTTTGTGAAAGCGACGGCGGTGGTGCGCTCGGCGCTCAGTCCGGCGGCACTGGCGGCGCTGCTGGAGGGTCTCGAGACACTCTTCTTGGGCCAAAGCTGGGACCTGTACTGGAAGCACAACCTACAGTGCCCAGGCAAGCGCGAATATGTGAAGATGGTGGATCACAAGACGGGCGGCATGTTCGTCATGCTGGTGCGACTGATGGTGGCTGAGAGCCCATGCTGGGGCGGCGCGGTCGTCGAGGACCTAGAGAGGCTGATGCAGCTGCTGGGACGCTTCTTCCAGATCCGCGACGACTACCTGAACCTCAGTGCCTACGCTGCCCAGAAGGGCTTCGCCGAGGACCTGGACGAGGGCAAGTTCTCCTTCCCCGTCGTTTGCGGCTTTGAGAGGCATCCCGAGCGGTGCGGCCACATCCTTGCCGTCTTCAGACAGCGCCCAACCAGCGCGGCCGCTGAGGCTAAACCACTGTCCCGGGAGGTCAAGGAGCATCTGATAAAGTGCATTGAGGCGTCTGGCGGCTTCGACGAGACTCTAAGGTGCCTAAGGAGCCTAGAGCACGAGCTAGACCGGGAGATTGCCAGGCTTGAAGAGAGATTGGGTCAGGGTAATCCCCTCCTCAGACTATGCTTGGCTGCGCTGAGTATGGAAGGATGCGAGAAAATTACATACGGTAATGCTGGGGCTCGGGATGGCCGGCTGTTCAGAGAGTAGAATATTCAAAGAACAGTACAAGCGTAAGACTGGGACTAGAAAGGAGTTTTTCTAGGTCATTAAGACTACTCTGTGCTACGCTCGTAGGAGAACCCTCGTTCTCGTACACTGAGCCTATCTAAACGCCCTATAGGGAGTACAGCTCGTGGCTGGGCAACGCTGATTGTAGAAAGAAGGGCTGCTATGGGAAGGGTTTTGGTCTTGTATGTTAGGGATTAACACGCCAATGGGAGTCTTATAGTAGTTAGAACGTTCTAGCGTCGAGCATTCTAATAGTGGTTAAATAGAAGCGTGTAGAACTTCATACAAGAATATTCGAGAAAACTCATTGCTGGCAAGAAATTGGCCGTCACCCCAATCAGTTCCTTCCCAAAACGAGGTGTCCATCGTGCGTTGCATATCAGTCTATGTTACTTAAATCCCGGCATTTATTTAACGCAGAATACCCATTTGACTTCAGATAAAAACTGCAGCCGACTGCCATATTACCCTCGTCTGCCGCCGCCTTTAAGCCATGAGCGCCGCCCACAGTGGTGCTGGAAGACAATGTGCACTGGTTGGTACAGACTTTTAAGCGAGTGAATCTGGCTAGGCTATTTTTGAATAATCTCACACAGCGAGCCAGTTACCTAACTGAGAAACTGTCATCAGAGAGTGCAATCTGGGCATGGTGCTCGGTGATGCTGGAGAACACGCTTGGGACGATCCACATCGAGGCATACGTCATGCATGTTGACAAGGTCTCACAGAGTGAGGTGGCTTTCAAGTTAACCAAAGAGACGATCAATGACCTCAGGAGATATGAAGAATCCCAATCACTTGATGCAGCTACATACAGGTGGAAGTGGCCAGAGAAGCAAGCTCCGCTGGACAAATTACATGAGGAGTTTGTCGAAGCCGTCAACAAGTTCGTTTACCGACCAATGCCAAGGCCCTGGAAGGACTAGAAGGCGGCCCCGGAGAGCTACTATATGGTTGCAGTGTGGATGTTAAAGCAGTATTTTCAAGATTTTCGTCCCATTGGTGCCTCCCCCACATGTGGTACATTTTTGGCGCCCAGTAGTTCCATTTCTCGGTGGGACTAAGCCAGCTGCACACAGACCTATCCACCCGTTAGAAGGGGACAAGCCACGGAGTACTCAACTAGATGTTCGCAGGTCGAGCGCCAAGAATCTTCACAATCCAAGCCTGGAGGATGGTTTGGACGCTATTGGTGGCGCATTTTTCCCGATACATTTCGTTGGTAGCCCTCTCTTCACTAGCGCACCATTCTGAGCTATCCATACATTTCTCATTTGCCGATGTATTGCTCAATCACGGCAGCAATTGTGGAGCTTTTTAGTGGAAGTCCTCCTTCCGTTTGTTGATTCTTAAGCTCAAAGTCGTCTCTGCTGCCTGCGTATCTCGTATGTTCGCATTCAAGCCCGTTCTCTGTAATGTCCGGATGGAAATGATCTCCACCTAGGCATGAACAGGGAGCATATAGGCGAAACGAAACTATGGTGTTAGAAGAGCTGTGCGGAGATATCGGAGGCAGTGCTATTACGCGCTATCTTGAATAACGCTAAACGTATCCAGTTAGATATACATGTACACGGTTATAGTTGCTCGGCCTACTACTGGATCCCCCACTCCGTTCCAGTTTACTAGCACGGTTCCTAGGAACTTGTTGACTCCCCTCCACCAACCTAACATACAGAATGTACGGCTATTGCTGTGCTTAAAATCTGCCCTGCGGGGAATGAAGGATCATTTAGACCTCTAACCTAAACTTTTCCTCACTAGCAAGGCAAAAAGCAGATAATAATCCCTCACTGTGTTGTTTGAGGGTGGTCAGATTCATTGAATTGCAGCGCTGCAGCGCCTTTTGCCCAGCATTACGGACGATCCAAGTGAACGTTCTCCAGCCTTGACAAAGTTGATGGCGGGCCTTTAAATTAGGCTTACCACTAAGTACCCCCAGCTAATTCTGAACATCTAAACACCTCCAGAAAAGACCTCTATAAAGTACCTTGTTGTTCGAACATGGAATGAGACGTATAAGAAGATGAAAATCCTACAGAGACAATTACTTGTTGTTAGGTCTATTGTTCGGGAATTATAAGATATATTCGTGAAACAATGGCCCTCTCTGCTGCTATCACTGATGCAGTTAGCCATGCTTTCTCCCATAAAAGCCTTCCTCTCCCAAGTTTGAACCACGCCTGTAAACTTCACGGGACACCAACCACTAGACCCTTTCAGTCTTTTGGCTATTCGGGCGCCTCAAAAGCCACACCTGTGATCCGAGTATCATCTCCAGTAATAGCTAAAGTCCCAACTAGAGCGGTAGCTTCGAGAACTAGTTCTGTGAATCTTACTAACACCGCATTTCTTACCGCCTTGAGCTATCTACGAACGTCTCAAAGAACCATCTATTCTAACCATTGCTACACTGGCACAAATGGAGACGGATGAGATATTTTGGCCCGCACGGGGCACCTGCGGTCTGAACACTGGCGATGTAGGCCTCGTTGACGGAGGGCTACAGCGCCGTGAGGGCTGCAGGCGGGCCCGTGGCACTCCGTATATTCTAGGAGGAAAAATAGCTATGCGGGAGCATACGTGGAATATACATGAGGGGGTTCCGCGGTGGGCGGGAAGAAACCGTCGCGGAGAGAGCCCGGCTCTCCCTCGAAACGGCGATGTTCTTTTCGAGGGAGGGGAAGGCCAGGCGATATTTGTGTGCGATGTCCAGCACGGGATATCGTGGGCCCGACGCAAGGGGCTCTCACGCAACAGTCCCGAATAGAACCTATCATCTATTATCTGCAGATCTTGGGTGTTCTGATAAACTTGTAGATACTGTGGGCGGGGGACAGGCGGGGTCTCGGATGATCTTTTGCCGAGAAGGAAGAGCTGTCGGCGATTGAAATAAAGTTACGAACAAGCGTTTAGGTGGTTCGGTAACCGTTCGCTCCGGTCGACCTTTCTGTTCTTCATAGGCATTCCAATCTCTTGCACATTCATACCAACTTCCCATAACACACCTAATTTTCCAGTTATTTAACTGCACAACATGGCATTGAACGAGATTTCTTCTCCCTGTCACCAAGGCTTGACGCCTCCAGATAGCCCAATGGAGGGGACAGCTACGTCTCAGACGATCGTGGAGGATCTGCAGCATCTCTTTGGTGTGTTTCTTGAGACGGCGCTGCTCGAACTTACAAGCGGAGAACCTCCAAACACTCCTGTCTCCCAGGACCAGTCTCCATACGGCCCCGACATGGTTCGACTGAAGAAGTTGCTGGTGAAGCTCACCCGCGATGAATGTGCTTCAGCTGAACTGTCCGTGGCAGCTAAGCCTACTCAGGCTTGTCTAGCAAGCAGTGAAAAGAAGGAGGGTGTCCGGGTCGCAAATGAAACTGATCTCGACAGTCCGATCTGTACTACCCCGGATGATTTCAAATCGTTCGAAAAGTGGGCCTCGACACCCCATTTCAAGACTGTTCTGGAAACGTACGAGCCACCAACTCCCCTTCCCATTCCTTTTTAGAAACTGGCTGACAAGGGTATAGTTGGGACAAAGAAGCATGCAAATACAAGATAGCAGAGCCGGTGAAGACCAGCAGTGGCTTGGACGACTATGCTGAATATGCATTCGTTGTCCGTGAACGTGTCGGTACATCAGACCTTCGCGTGACAGACCGAAACAATACTAATAGTATGGTTAGAACGGAATTCCGAGGAGGTGACGCACTACATAGACATCAAATTGGAAGGCCTACGTGACATCCTGCGTGTGGTACTGCACCACATCAAAGCTATTAGCTTGATGGAGGACAAGCCATCGGTAATTGAGAGCGAGTAGCATCTCGAAGAGAACGCTGACGTGGATTTAGATCGAGCAAAACGTCCTTTTCCATTTCCTCCCAGAGCTCGACAGATGTGTGGAGAACGTGGACAACAGCTCGGACCATGACTCGGCACATGCGGAGCATCTCCGCCTGCTCATCGACCACCTCAAGCAAGCATATGCTTCTATCTCGCAGCGTCTCGAATCAATGTTGCGGCACGGTCATATTACTTATGACCTTCTTTGGGCGCTTTTCAAGCCTGGTTGCCATGCTTATACCACATGCATTGGCACAAAAGAGCCACGATGTGTCAGATTCGACGCGGGGGGAGAGATGACACAAAATGACGAGACGTGGTGGAATCTCGAGTGCTGATTCATCGATTATGACGGAGTCAAGTTTGGCGAGCCGGAATATTTCTGCGTGTGGCAAAGTTCCGGGGATCAAGGCCGATCGAGAGCCTTGAGGCCTTCCCTCTCCGCTACCATTCAAGGCACGAGGAAATCCGGAAAGACTTGGTCGAAAGAGGCCAAAAGTTTCGGGATTTGGTCGGCTCGCACATTCGGCACTGTAACGGCAGTGCGTTCTTTATGAACAAGGGGAAGGCGATCAAAGTCAACGTCTGAGACTTTTTTCAGAGATTGGCGGCTCAAGCATTGGGCTTTCCGTGTCGATGCTAACGGGTGGTATATGCTCCGACGGATGTGGCTCAGACTTGCCAGAAAAGACACGATGGAGGAATGAAGCCCCTTGAGAGCTAAGTGCAAGAGGGCTTCTCGAACGCTGCGGACTGTATTCGAATGCTTCATCCAACAACACCGTTGTGAGTGGGATTTCTGGCGATAAAAATGGAGCATCCTGATGCTCGATGGGAGGACCAATACTCTCGCGGTGATCTGCGCTCGTGGCCTCGTGGTCCACATCCAGACGGCGCGATGAGCTCCGCGAAGTGACAACAGAGGGATCTCTTGCTTGATGCGAGCTGGAGCCCATGCACTGTGTTTCTAGCTTCAAACGCTGGCGTTTGCGTGGGAGGATAGCCTCCGACCTTTCAAAACGGCATTCACTTCCCTGCTCTTCACACCTTGAGCAGCATTCTTCTCGCCTTGTCATACGAGAGGAAAGGTCACACTGCCTCTTCTGTTCACGACAACGGTCGCATGATGCCCGTTTGTTTTTGGGCATGATGAATGGATGCAATTAGCGGTTGACGCCGAAGGAAAAAAAACCCTTAGGGGCACTGGGAACAAAAAGAGACGAGACATGGTGGGAGGAAGCTTTTATAAGGCTGGGGACTGAAAAGGGCTCCACATTGCCGCATGGCCCCCTATTCCACATGGCCTTCTCTTCCGCATAGCTCCTTCTTCCGCTTGGCCCCTCTTCCGCATAGCTCCTTCTTCCGCATATCCTTCTCTTCCGCATATCCCCGTCTTCCGCCTCGCCCCCTCTTCCGCCTCGCCTCCTCAGAATAGAGGCGATTGATCTTACTATTTGGAATCTCTAAAAGAGAGGCGAGTGTATATTTGTATATTTGCCGAAAGTTAGAAGGTGTCTCTTGTTATGGATCGCTTATTATAGGTGCCGGAACGAGTTCGTTTCAATGACTCCAGCACTCGCCTTTTTCCTCAGATGAAGCGATGAGCTTCCTTGGTTAGTATTGCTCGGATTTTGCATAGTCAAAGGTCCGGTACCTACTCTCACAGAGATCCTCCGCTATTTATTGAAGAGAACATCCCTCCTCCGGAGTACCCATTTCCCCGGCATAGTTCGTCAGAAGCTAAGGAAGCCGGTCTAGATTTCGTGAGAACATACAGCCATTGTGAAGTTGTGATTAAGCTATCACAGCAGATGCAGGCAGGACAAACGGAAGATAAAACGCGGCTTGGGTCACTAATGACGTGTATTCAGGAAAAGGCGCCTAGTTTGGAATTGGAGAATAGAAAATGCTCTGTGGACTATATAAGGGGACGCGGCGGAAGAACATTTGCATAGGCCTAATTGATTATTGAGGGCAGAAAACACAAAAAAGGTGTGGATGGGCTTCTTAGTGGCTGACCTACCAATACCAGGCACCCTCATATTATCCCAGCTGTTCAAGGAATATCCACGCA